GTTTGACTCCACATTGCGGCCTGAGCCTATGACTTTCTGATATGGCAATAAAATAGCTATAAATTAAACCAAGCTCACTATGTGATTCAGTTTCATATTGGAGTGAAAAATTGGATGCAAAAGGTCATTTTCACTGAAGCATAGGAGGTTAAGGGGTGACCATATAGATGTTTATAAAATTATTACGGGAGTAGATAGGGTAAATGACAAAGGTCTTTTCCCTAGGGTGGGGGAGTTTAAATCTAGGGGGAATATTTTCAAGGTGAGAAGAGAAAGATTTCAAAAGGACATCAGGGGCAACTTTCTTACACAGAGAATGGTTCATATGTGGAACGAACTGCCAGAGGAAGTGGTGGATGCAGGTACAGTTACAACATTTAAAAGAGATTTGGATAAGTTCATAAATAGGAAAGGTTTGGAGGGATATGGGCCAAGCACAGGCAAGTGGGACTAGTTTTGTTTGGGAACATGGCATGGACTGGTTGGATCAAAGGGTCTGTCTCTATGCTGTATGATTCTATGAGTCTGTCTCAAGATGCTACATTGAAAGAGAGCAGAAACACTTTCCCTGATATACTGCGTAATATTTAGCACTTGCTGAACACCACTAGGAACAGATTACATGGTCACCATCACATTGCCACTTGAGCAAGTTAACTGTGTGCAAATTGGTTGCATTTCCTATATTACAGCAATGAATTCAAAAGTGCATCATTGGTTGTAAAGCATTTTGGGTCCTGAAAGGCTATAGAATTTTTTTTTTATTAAAAAAAACCCACAGTGCAAGACTTTTGTTCAGTAGCGGTGAATAGCAGAGATTTTAACAATTCTACATTGAAATCCAGATGAGGAAACAGATGAAAATGTTGGAAATAATTAACAACAAGCCCTTTATATTGGAGAGTAAAGACACATTTATGATTTGCCATTCCGTTTCTCAGTTGATCATTCTGATGAACATTCAGCTACAAAAAAAACAGATGTCAATGTGGAAAGAACATATTTGGATCAGTTTCTGAGTCATTTTAGACAAGATGTGGATGTGGTGTGAATGGGAGAAGCGGTTGACTTTGGGCTTATAGTTCCAAAGCTGTTCCATCACTGGATTGTTGCTTTGTCCTAACTTCCTGGGTCTCTTGCTGGCTAATGGGGATTGTTTGATAGGTATAATCAGTAACTCCATTATCATTGTATTATGTACCTGTCATGGACGGATTGTAACTTGACGACAAAAGAGAAATACTGCAGGTGCTGGAAATCTGAAACAAAGGCAAGCAAGCACTAGAAATACTCAAATTGTTAACTATTCAAAATCGCAAGGGGCCTAGACAGAGTAAATTGGAAAAAGCTGTTTGCATAGGTTGAAGGACAGAGAGTGAACAGGTTGTAGGTTTAAGGTAATTGACAAAAGAAGCAATGGAACATGACAAGTTCCCAAACGAACTTTTTATGCAGCAAGTGCAATATCAAGGGTCCAGGGACAGCACATTAAGGTGGTTAAATCGCATGGGCCTAATCAAGTCCATCCTCGGATGATGTGGGAGGTTAGGGATGAAATTGCAGAGGCCCTTGCAGAGATTTCTGCTTCATCTTTAGCCACTGGTGAAGTTCCAGAAGATTGGAGGGTGGCTAATGTTGTTCCATTTCTTAAGAATGGTAGCAAAGACAAACCAGGAAACTACAGGCCAGTGAGCCTGACATCATTGGTAGACAAGTTATTGGAGAGGATACTGAGGGATCAACCAACATTTGGATAGTCAAGGTCTGAATAGGGATAGTCAGCATGGAGTTGTACATGGGAAGTCATGTCTGACAAATCTTTTAGTGTTTTTCGAAGAGGTAACCAGGAGGATAGATGAGTGTCGGGCAGTGGATGTTGTCTGTATGGACTTTAGTGAGGCCTTTGACAAGTTCCCACATGGCAGGTTAGTCATGAAGGGTAGGTTGCATGGGATCCAGGGAAAGCTAGCTAATTGGATTCAAAGTTGGATCGATGGAAGGAAGCAGAGGGTGATGGTTGAAGGTTGTGCCACAGGGGTCAGTGCTGGGATCTTTGTTATTTCCGTAGATGATCTGGATGTGAATGTACAAAGTATGATTAGTAAGTTTGAGGATGATACAAAATTAGAAGGTATTGTTGATAGCGAGGAAGGTTATCCATAATTACAGAAGGATCTTGATCAGATAGGGATGTGAACTGAGGGTTGGCAAACGCAATTCAATACAGATAAGTGTGAGGTGCTGCACTTTGGAAAGTCAAACCAATGGAGGACTTAAACAGTAAATGGTAATGTCCTGAGGAGCCTTGTGGGACAGAGGGACCTAGGAGTACAAGTGCATAGTTCGTTGAAAGCAGCATCACAGCTAGACAGGGTGGTGAAGAAGGCATTTGGCATGCTGGCCTTCATCAGTCGAGGCATTGAGTGTAGGAGTTGTGACGTTATGTTATAGTTGTATAAGTTGTTGGTGAGGCCACACTTGGAGTATTGTGTACAGTTTTGGTCACTCTGTTATAGGAAAGACATAGTCAAACTGGAAAGTGTGAAAAGAAGATTTACGAAAAAATTGCCAGGACTAGTAGGCCTGAGTTACAGGAAGAGGTTGACCAGGATAGAGCTTTATTCTTTGGAGTGTAGGAGAATGAGGGGTGACCTTATTAAGGTGTATCAAATCATGAGGGGCATAGATAGGATGAATGCATATAGTCTTTTTCCCAGGAATGGAGCAATTGAAAACTACAGGCATAGGTTTAAGGTGAGAGGCAATAGATTTAAGAAGGACCTGAGGGACAACTTCTTCATGCAGAGTGGTGCATATATGGAGTGGGCTGCCAGAGAAAGTGGTTGAGGATGGTACATAGCAACATTTAATAAACATTTGGATAGGTACATGGATAGGAAGGGTTTAGAGGGATATGGACCAAATGCGGGCAATTGGAACTAGCTGAGTAGGCACCATGGTCAGCATTGACCAGATTGGGCCAAAGGGCCTATTTCCATGCTGTATTAAGGTCAGCAATGTGCTCTTTGGTGGCAGGTTCAATCAAGACATTCAAGGGAATTGGATACTATCTGAAACGGAGAAATGTACAGGGCTATGAGGACAAGGTGGAACGTTAGCATCGAATGCACCATTCATTCATATACCCACCATTTACACAATGGGCTGAATAGTCTCCTTCTGTGCTCTAATTGTTTTGTGGTACTCACCAAGCCAAGGCAGCATCTGTGGAGAGACACAGGGTTAATGTTTTACGTCAATTCCTTCACATTAAATGGATTGTAGTCTTTTATTATCACTCAATTCCTATCATTCCAGCATGTTAATTTAACCTTTCATTTGTACAAATGCTAAGTATCTGGACTGCCTACATTATTGATAGCCAACATCTATCTTAGCCACAACTATCAGCAACAACTGTGATGTTAGAAACAACTGAAAATTACCAAACTTATAATCTGTCAAAAAAATTTTGCAAAGTGTTTCCCACACCCTTGAGACCACCTACAAAGCCGATAAATTATTTTTGATGTTCAGCCACTGTTGCAGATGCTAACATGGCAACCAATTTGAGCTCTGCAAGGTCCCACAAAAAATATCTACTGAATGATAGTTTAATGTGCTGATGTTTGAGGGTGGAATATTGAGAAAGGCTACAAGGAAAATTTTGTTGTTCTTCAAGGAAGTGACATCAGATCTATTGCTTTCTGACTGAGCAAGCAGTCAGGTCTTCATTTTAAATGTTTCCTCACAATGGCAATGCCTCCAACACTATGGTGCTCCCTCAGCACTGTACTCATGTGCGAGCCCAGCTCAGGTGCTCCTGTTACATATGGACAGGGCTACTACTGAGCCAAGTTAATGCTGATCTTGCTGTTAATCCAGAGCTTCATACCATGTAACTGCTGCTGACTGAAATATAACCTCTTTCTTGAGAGACTGATTTGGAGACGAGTGCTTTTCACAACAGGAATTTGTCTGCCATTGTCTGTGCATTTTCCTTGCAGCGAGGACACAGCCACCTATATATAGAAACTTTCTGATTACTGCCTCTGTGACTATGATGGAGACGTAGTCGAGAGAGACTGAAGAGCTCCCTTGAACACAGTTTAATGCTGATGCCTACAGACATGTTGCTGCTGAATTCTTTCAGCCATGTGTCAAAGGAGAGATTGAAGAGTGAGGAGGCTACGCCACATCCTTGTTTAACAACGCTGCTACCAGAAAGGCAACAGACGTCTTACATCACAACCATATCCACCAGTCAGCGAGCGCAAGCTTGTTCAGACATTCTAGCTTGGACAGCAAGTGCTGTAGACCAGGTTAACTTATACTGTCAAAACTTTACTTAGGTCTATAACCAGCAGCTATAGATAAGAAATAGGCCCTGATATTGCTATCTGCACTTTTTCTTCAAGTTCCTGGAATCCGTACAGTGTGGAAACAGGCCATTCGGCACACCACCCCTCCGAAGAGCATCCCACCCGGATCCATCATCCCACCCTCTCCCTGTAATCCTACATCTCCCATGGCTAATCCACCTAACTTACACACCCATAGACTCTCTGGGCAATTTAGTATAGCCAATCCACCTAATCCGCATGTCTTTGGACTGTGGGAGGAAACCGGAGCACCCGGAGGAAACCCACGCTGACACAGGGAGAATGTGCAAACTCCACACAGACAGTGGTCCAAGGTTGGAATCAAACCTGGGTTCCTGGTGCTGTGAGGCATCAGTGCTAACCACTGAGCCACCGTGCCGCCCATTGTTTGCTGTCGTGGTAGATACTGTTCCAAAGTTCTCCATCACTGTCTATTGTACTTGGGGTTCTAACCCGCGAACATGACAACAGTTAACCCTAGACTTCGTTGTGGTTCTGGGAGGATATCACCTAAAGGTTGCTTGGTAAGAGGTTTAATAGGATCCATGTGAGGATCTTAACTGTGTTTGAGAAAAGATTCGTTCACTGAATCCAGTTTTTAATCCTTTTTTCTTCTAGATGCTGACTACATCAATTAGCATCCTTGAGGACCCATGGAGAATTTGCCTGATCCTGGATATTCTTGACGATGGTTGTAAGTTTTTGTTCACAAGCCTTGTATGGTTACATTTTGAAACCTCTGCTTGTAGGCTGACTGGACTTAGGGGTATTGCCTTGTTTGGTTATCTGAACATCATGTTGAGGTTGGACAGGATGTTAGGAAGGCCTCTTCTGGAATACTGTGTCCAGTTCTGTTCGCCCTGTTATAGGAAAGATATTATTAAGCTGGAGAGGGTTCAGAAGAGATTTACCAGGATGTTGCCGGGGTTAGATGGTTTGAATTATAAGAAAAGGCTGGATAGGCTGGGACTATTTTCACTGGAGGATGGGAGGTTGAAGCCTGACCTTATAGAGATTTATAAAATCACGAGGGGCATAGATAAGGTGAATGGCAGATATCTTTTCCCTGGTTCGGGGATTTCAAGACTAGGGGGCTTATTTTTAAGGTGAGAGGAGAAAGATTTAAAAAAGACGTGAGGGGAAATTTTTTCACACAGAGTGGTTTGTGCGTGGAATGAACTTCCAGAAGAAGTAGTGGATGCAGGTACAGTTTCAACATTCAAAAGACATTTAGATAAATACATGAATAAGCAATCTTTGGAGGGATATATGCAAAGCGCAGGCTAGTGGGACTAGTTTAGTTTGGGATTATGGTCAGCATGGACTGGTTGGATCGAAGGGTCTGTGTCTGTCCTGTATGACTCTAAATGAGCAATCATTACCGAGTGCTAGTCTCTTTTAAAACAGAGATAAGGTGAAATATTTAACTAAGAGGATTGTGAGTCTTTTGGAACCTGAAAACATACGGAAAGCAGATCGCTTGAAATATTTTTGAAGCAGAGTTATATTCTATTAAGCCAGGGAGTGAAAAGTCATTACAGGACATGAGAGCGTGATTTGAGGCTACCATTATACTGTCCTTATCTTATTAAATGATAGAGCAGGATCAAGAAGCTGATAGCATACTTTTGCTCCCAGCCATTTGATAATATCGTGGTAAATATGTTTGTGTATTGAGTTTCGCATTCCCATCTGTCCCTGACAACCTTTATGTCCTCTACTGAACAAGATTCTGTCCACCTCTGGTGTAAAAATATTCATTGTCCCCATCACCACCAAATTCTGAGGTGGAGCTGTCCAAAGCCATTCAACATTCATTTACAAAAAAACAAAATTCTCATCTCTGCCCTTAAGAGCGACCCCTAATTTTATCTGACACATCTCCTTGGGGAACCGTCTCAAGGCAAATCACATCAAGCTGATTGATAGAAAATAAAGGAGGAGCATCCTAATTTAGAGTCTAATAAATTTGTGCATTGCGGACTGTCTCTCATGATAGCTTTAGCGCTAAGAACTATATCTAACCCCTGTATTCATTATTTTGGTCTCCATCACTTTCAGTGGCAGAGAATTCCACAGGCTCTACTCCCTGGGCGAAGAAATTTGTCCTCAACTTGGCCCTAAATGACTTAATCCGCACTCTTAAAGTGTGATCCCTGATTCTGGACTCTCTGGTCATAGAAACATTCTTCCTATGTTTGCCCTGTCTAGTTCTGTTAGAATTTTATAGATTTCTGTAAGATACCCCCTCATTTCTCTTAAAAACGGTGTAGTTGAAGGTACATGCTTAAATTTGGTTCAGCATCTTTTTGAGGACCATCAATGTCAAAATTGCAATGTTCAATGTGCCCATAAAAAAACCATAGGTGATACAGTTGTGATGCCCCCCCCCCCCGCAGCATCAACAATGGCAATATAAAGTATCAGCTCCGAATATTCATACTGATCCTGCATCGAACTCCTCAATCAATAGAGAAACCACAGAAGACGATTAGTACACTCAGACACATTAGAACAGTAAGGACTCTATACAACGATGACCTGAAAAGGTGCCTGATCTGTTGGACATTTCAGGTTGTTCGCTGCTCATTTAATCTTGGAAGGAATCTCATTGTCAGGGTGGCCTTTGTTTCAAGTACAAGAACTTTCATCGAGAATTAAGAAACTTGGATTTATCCAAAGTCGATCATTTCCTTAGGACATTCCAAAATGACTCATAGCCAACAAAACTATAATTTTTTTCAAGTGTAGTCACTGATACAAATTAACAACCACAGCAACCAAAAGGCCACAAAGAACGTGCGGAATAAATGCACATTTCAACTCAATTAGCAAAATACTGTCCTGGCTGGAAATCACAGATAAAAACAGAAAATATTGGAAATATCCAGCGGGTCAGGCAGGAAAGAGAACTAGAGTTAACATTATCAGGAGAGGATGATTCACTGGAAAGCAGATTATGTTTTGTGCGTATTAGTTTAGGGGAAGAAAGCCTGACTTTAAATGCTGCCATGAGTTTTTTTCCATCTACCTGCTGTGTTTCATTTGAGCATCAGAGCCTCCAGAAGTGCAGCACTTCCTCGGTACTGCACTAAAGTTCTGCTTAAATTATGCATTGAAATCTCCAGAATCAGAATTGAACCCATGACTTTCTGACTCAGAAATAAAAAAATACTTGCGCCGTGGCTGACGACTCAAGCTCCTTTGCCAAACAGTTTGAAATATGTTAAAAAGATACAAGTTGTTCGATTTATAAGGCCAAATGGACTGTTCTTTCAGAGGCACAATGCTGTGCAATTCAAATATTTGAACAATGAGGGTTATTGAGCATGGAGCAGTGGATGGCCATTCAGCCCTCAAGCCTGCTCTTACATTCAATAAAACCATATGTGATATGATTGTGGTTTCAACTTCACTTTCCCACTGGCCCCTCATAACCTTTAACTCCCCTGTCTATCAAGAGTCACGCCAAGCCTTAAAAATATCAATGACCCAGCCTCCACTGCTTGCTGAGGAAGGGAATTCCAGAGCCACAATCCTCTGAGAGAAAATATTTCACCTCATCTCTGTTAAGTGGGAGATACGTAATTTTTAACCTGCCTGCCCTGATTCTAGGCTCACCCCCAAGGAGAAACTTCCTCTCTGCATCCACTCTGTCAAATCCCCTCAGAATCTTAATAAGAATGCCTGTTATTCTTCTAAACTCTAATGGGTAGAGACGCAACATCAGTACACTGACATGTATTAGATTAAAGGAGTTATTGAATTTTATATTGGGTAGGACCTACATTACACAAAAGCTACTACATTGTAGGGATATTTTTATGAAGCATCTTAGGATAGTTCATGATGCTAAAGACGCTGCCTAAATATAAGATGTTGAATGTATAATGATTGCAACAACTGCAAGAGCTTAAAATGAAGTGAAAATCTAGCTGCGTGTGTGGCTCATGGTTTGGGACTCAAGATCAGTCTGTGGGGGCCATCGTGGTCTTTTTTATTCACTCATGGGACATGGGCATTGCTAGCTGGGCCAGCATTTATTGCCCATCCCTTGACAAGGTGGTGCTAAACTGTATTCTTGAACTGCTGCAGCCCATGTGTTGTAAGTAGGGCCACAATGGTGGTGGGAGGGAATTTCAGGATTTTGGACCCAGCGAAGGAACAGTGATGTATTTTCAATTGAGTGGCTCGGAGGGGAACTTGCAGGTGGTGGTGTTCCCATGTATCTGCTGCCCTTGTCCTTCTAGATGGAAGTAGATGTGGATTTGAAAGATGCTGTCAAAGGAGCTTTGGTGAATTTCTTCAGTGTTCCTTGCAGATAGTACATGTTACTGCTACTGAGTGCCAGTGGTGGAGTGCTTGAATATCTGTGGATCTGGAACCTTTCAAGTGGGCTGGATGGTGTCAAGCATCTTGGAATTTCACTTATCCAGGCAAGTGAGGAGTATTCCGTCGCATCCCTGACTTCTTCAGAGATAACAAGGTGTAGAGCTGGATGAACAC